TAGAACACCATGTTTAGGAGAATGTGTTTGGTTGGTTGTTAGAGGGACGAGGTGCGTCACGTGTTAATGTATCATTGGTGCTCGAGTTGACTGCCTGAACTAGCTCGCAGGCTTCGGCCCATAATTGGAATACTGTATGCTGCCCTTTTTAAACACCTGATCATTTTGAAACTATTTTATTTGTATTTAAATATTCTAATACATTTCCTAACAAAACTCATTTGAATTTAGTTTGTGACACTAAATGAACCTATTTTTTAGTTGATTAAACTTTTGACGAGTTGTAAACCTGCAACATGTCCCTTAATGAAATGTTCTGGTGTTTTTATTTGAACTATTTCCTCTTGAGGACCATCATGTAATATCTCCCTACTACTCTGACTACTTCATGCCTGAGCTGGCACTATTTTTATTGTTGTTTAAAAAAAAATGTATGTCTTGTAATTGCTTTATTGAGGAACCTGTGACCCAAATTTTTCATCATAACATACTACAGCGTAGTTGTGTATAAGATATGAAAATAAACAGAAAATTCGGTTCCAAGCTACTACATTTAAATTTAAATAATGCCATTAATTTTCCATAATTATACAAGTTTAATAACATATTTTAAATTGTGTGATTTTATTTCAGTTTCTAGTGACAAATATTTCTGACAATATATCCCATTTTCTACTCCTTAAACATATTTTTAAATTTGAATGTCTGAAAGCATTAACCTCCAACAGCTGACTCAAAAACAATACACTGTATGTTCTCACTGGTATGAGAGTTTGGATAAGAGCCAAACAGATGAAACAGGATCTTCTGCTCAATCAAAATGAGTGTCCCTGAGTTTAATCAAAATTGCTGTGACAGCGTTAGCCTTTTTTTTTGACCATTCATTACAGCTCCTCATTCAGGCCAATCAGTGTAACGGAGTATCGAGATGCATGTCTACAGCAAATCTCATGTAATTATATTTATTATTAGCCCTTTAAATTTAATGATGTTAACCTTTCAATCACACTTCAATGTCTATGTGAATTTTTTTTTCACAATACATGTGCGTAATGTGCTCAGTTTTAATGACACCATCTGGTTGTTATGCTTTCAAACCTTGAATGTGCCGGTTCATATCATTAAAAAAGTGTCTCTGAATATGTGGACTGCAGCCTTTGTTGACGCGTTTAAGAAGCATCTGAAGACACACTTATGTAAATGTAATAATTTGTAGTCTAGTAGAGTGCTTTTCCCAAAAACTTCAATAGAACATTTGTGGAGCTCGAAGGAATGTGGAAACACATTTAAAACATTTAACAGGAATGTATATTTCCAGAAACTGTATCCAGTTCAACCTGCTTTGAATAATCCTCAGAAATTGAAGTCAGCATTTTTCTAAACCACTTTCGAAATGGTGAACTTCCTTAATTTCTCTAATTTCGTACAGTTTTTTAAACTAAAATAAACCCTGGCCTCAGATGCCCTGTGTGGTTATTAAAGGAACGCGCATGTATTCATGAATATGAAAGCTCAAAACTAAAATAACGATGATAGGTGGGTTAGGGTTAGAACCTGGACCACAAGTTTGGGTAATAAAGCTCCCCCACCTCCAGGCCCTTATCATGTCACATTAATTTGCTTCGGTGCTGCATATTCCCAAACAGAATTTCAATTTAATTAGCACAAATGAGTTTACACCAAGCTACACCTGGAGTTCTGGGGCAGCTGTCTACTTCGCCATGCTGTTAATCAATCCTCGTCTTGTATCCACCCTCGACACAGTCCAACCAATTGGGAGGGGTCTTTTTGTAAATTAGATCAACAAACCCCTTTTTTCTCTCCACAAAATCTGTTTTGGACTTTAAGGTCCCCTATTATACTGTTTTTCATCAATATATTATAGTCTCAGTTACATACAAAACATGTCTCTGAAGTCTGGCTCGAAATACCAAACAGATCATGCATTGCAGTATCCCATAAACCCCTCTGTTTCAGCCCTGTTTCAAAAGTGCTGATTCTCTGTCTGTTACTTTAGGTGAAAATAAGGAGCCCCTCCCCACGCCCCTCTGAGAGATATTTGGTTAAAAAGAACACAATGGTGCTCTAGGAGGAGATTAAGTGATAAGGGGG